ACCAGTCGGCCCTTGGGAAGTCAGGAGTCGTTCTAAGGGTTGTAGGTTTTTCCTGTAGGAAGAGGTCAACAGTCACAAGGATGGGGAGGTGGTCCGAGCCGATGTCTTTTCCGATGGTGCAGTCATGTATGAGGGGAAGGATGGCAGGGTTAGCAAGAGTCAGGTCGAGTCTGGATGGTGGAGTGTCAGGGCATGAGAAGGAGGAGTGAGTCGGGTCAGGGCTGCTTATCAGGGAGTAGTCAGAGTCGTCTAGAAAGGAGGAGATTAGTCGTCCGTGCGAGTTGGTCTTGTTACAGAAGGAGAGGAAAGGGCTGTGGGCATTTAAGTCACCTATTATTAGGGTGGGATCTTGGAGGTGTGAGGGAACACTGTCAAGGTCAGCTTGAGTCAAGGATGAGGGTGGACAGTAGAGATGAAAGATGTTAAGTTTTAATGAATTTACTTTAATGGATATTCCAATAAGTTCAATAGCATTAGGCTGGGGAGGTGTTATGTCCTCAGCATCTAGTTTGTCAGAAATGAAAATGGCAGTATTACCTTACCAGTATTGGGGTTACATTATATAGCAGGGCTGCTCAGCTACTACGTGAGAAGATCCACTAACCAAAAATCATAGAGGTCTGGCGGTCCGGAAGTAAAGTCTCAATGTGACAGCTGGCAGTTGCAATCCGCAATTTTCTTAATGTCTGGTGTGAGTGCGGTCAGAGCGACGCGAAGGCATTGATGTAAGGTTGTTGGTCAGAGAAGCGCGATACTGGTTCTTCAGAAGTTGAAAACGCACTTTCACATATGTAGGTTGACTCAAACATAGTGAGAACCATGACGGCCAACTCCTTTACCTGTGGGTACGTGGTAGAAGGCACCAGCTCACCCCAGAACTTTTCTAGATTTTCTAGTGACTTGTGTATACCTGGCCTTCAATTCTTCGTCTGCATGAATGTCAGGGAGCTCCAGCTGCAGATCAGCGAGCTGTAGACTTGGACTTGAACAAAGGCTTGGCATCTTTAGCCCATGCCCCTCACAAAGAGGCTACAAATGAATTTTTGATCCGCTAGAACACCTCTTTACTGTTGCGAAACTCAGAAGCGAAAATTAAAGTCAATGATGATGGACAATGATGCGATGAAATCTTTGAATGTGAATGACAACGGTTGAGTCATGTCGCACTCTTCCTGAAAGCATTGCAAAGTTGGGAAGTGGAGAAGATCGCCACTTTGAACGTCTTCAATGTAACTTGGCAAAGCAAACAAAGAGGTTTTGGATTGAGTACATTAGGCAAGATAAAATGATAGTCCTCCATCCAGCTGTCTGTGAATTTGCGATTTTCACCATCTACCTTTCGTTTTCTAGCGGAGCTGCCTATCACTATCATGGGGTTGGCACAACAGGGAAACACCAGAAAGAGTAGCAATAAAACCTTCAAATCTAACTGGCTGGGTGTCTGTCTTTCTATCTCGGTCCGTGTCAAGGTCAACGCAACTGTCACCTGAATGAAGGAGTTCACACCACTGCTTAAGGGGAGGACATGGGGAAAGTGGAAAACAAATCGAAGGAGCTTAGGAGCGGTCCGAGTTACGAGCGGTCTATAACAGCGCTGCCCAGGTTGGGCAGCGCTGTTATATAGCCTAACTCAAATTATCCCATGAGTCAGTACGGCAATGAAAATCGAAATTTCCTGAGCTTTCGCAAGAATTGCAGAAAGCATATTTTCTTTGAGTCAGGAGAGAGTGGAATAGTCATCTAATTCGAGGAAAATCATCAAATCGGTTCGTTGCTGTTTTTTCACGGACAAGTGACAGGGATCACATTTCTTGCAGTAAGGTTTCCCTTAACAGACTGCAATCTCTGCAACGAGAGAAAGCCCTCTGCCATGAACACCGCGTGGAGAATCGATATGGTCGTGTCTTGTTATTTTTTAATTTGCAGATTCTTTCCGCTTTCCATCACGCGGATGCAACCCAATTTATTCATCGTCTCTATAATTAGCTCTGATCGTGACAGACTACATGCAAGAGCTGCTGCCTCGGTACAGTAGATAGAATTTCTGCGTGAATTTAAGATTATTCAAAACAAGGAAAGCAGGGCTCCTCTTGCCTGAAGCCCAATCGATCATTGAGATCCTCTGTCTAATTAAAATGAGATAAAGTTGACTCCGCATAATAGAATGCTCTAGGGAACAGGGAACTTTTTTCTATAATCCGGAGTGTTCCATCAAGCGAAACTCGCGTTCTGTACTTAATCTTTATACTTCATGCATTTTTTTAAATAGGGTAAGTGAGACGAATTCCGTCCCCCACATTACGTAATCGAATGCAACTAGAAATCCAATCCGCCCTTTTCAACCAAATTACACCAATATCCAATCTGAAAATGTAAATGCACAGTTCGCTTTTTTTTCTCGAATGGTATAGATCCCAAAACCATCCATTTCAAATCACTTACCCTTGTACAATATCCAATTTTGCTCATTCGTCGTTTCTTAAAAATACTATTTGCACATTTGTCGCACTAGTAGTTCTTTCTGTCAAATTTTTTCTCAATTTTCTCCGTTTTTGTGCATTCGTATTTTTAAAATTTTATTATTTGCATAGGCCTACTGTATTCTTTGTGCGTCTCTCAAGGGGATTTTCTTTTTCTCCGCTCTTTTCTTTCACACTATTAATAACTTTTGGATTATTTTTTTTATTTATTCCATTTATTACTGCATTGGCTTTCACGTAGTCCTTCAAAAAATATCAAATGGCAGCTGCTCATGACCTTGGTTCTTTGAAGGGAGAGTGGGCTTGGGGGGACAGACCGGTGGGGGCTTTTCGAGAACGTGGAAAAAAAAAAGCATTTTGTTTTTCAGCAAAATATAATTTTAACAAATTAATTTCAACTTTCAGGAAAGTTTATTCCTTTAAGCTGGTTATTCTAATAACCGTATTCCTTTATGCGATGTTTTCCATAATGCATCTTATGGTTAAAAAATCGGAACCGTGCAATTGTATTCCGTTAAGGGGTATTCCAGTAAGTGGAATCGACTCTACCTTGAAACTTTTCTTGCTTATCTCCGATGCGCCCTGCTGCTTATAAAAAAATTATTAGTAACACATGAAAAATCCAACATTCGAGACGGGATCAATGCGCCGGTGGATTCCAGAACGAGTCTCCACCTGTGCAACCTCGATAGATTGGAGCATGGGAAACGTAGTGAATCCTCAAGCGGAGCAAAATCCGTAAAAAAAAATGAAGTGAGTGTTCCTATTGGGAAGAGTGCCAAGGAGAAATGAGACAGACGAAGAGCAGAGAGGCAAGGGGACACAGCTGCAACTGCTAGTGAGGACTCCTTCCACAGACTTGTCAATCGACAGGTGGCAGCATTAGGCGTCAAGATTGCATCCATCCACAGGGAAGGGGGGGGGGGGAGAAGAGGAAGGAGCTGCATTCTTTGGTTTCTCCTTCGAATGGAGATAATCGAGATGAGAACGAGCATCATCCTTGGCATCTTCCCTTCAAAAGCGATCCTTATATGGAAGGAACGAAAAGTAGCTCGAAAAGGGGGGAAATGTGGAACTCGGAGAAAGCATCAGACGGCGACGCAGTTGGGGCTTTCCATCTATAGAGAGAGCGAGGAGCTATATCGATCACAGGGTTGAGAGAGAGTCCCGGGAGATGGCATCGTGTTAGACTGGAAAAGGAAGAGAAGGAAGAGAGGGACATAGGAGGAAAGTGCAAGTATTCCGAGGATATCCCTGATGGGATGAGTGAGAAAGGGTGCCGTGATTGACTGAATGTCAAATCGTGTCACTCCGAATCCAACTGGAGAAGAGGAAGCATTCAGCTCGATACAAGCTGTCGGAATGCCTGACTACAAGGCCCAGGGCCCCTACTCGTCGCCATCCAAGGCACCCGTCTTCAGAAGAGAGAGCAATGTGATCGGTGGTAAGTGCCATTTTTAAATTATATATTGCTGTTGCTATGGATGACCTAGAAATGCAGTGTCTTTGCCGTGACTCTGGTGCATACGCCCATCGCCAAAATTAGATTGTGATTCATAAATGCGACATTCGTCCTACACAATCTGCCTTACTGTCGCGAAACGTATGCATGGATGTCGAGGAAATACCGACACCCGTATATCATCATCCTCAATGAATGCTTTTGCTTGATGGTCGTACGGCATAGCCGGAGTCTACTGTATATCATTTGATAACGGCCCAATACTGCGCACTTTCGATTATTAATTGAGGACTCCATCCGATATGCAAAGACTCCCAGGTTCATGCAGGAGTAGGTCGATACAAAGGTGTGCTCTTGACTGATGCGTCGGGTCTTGGGAGAAAGGTTTTTAATTTTGAATGTTTCACTGTCGCATGGATACATGAAACAAAGGGGACACCAAACAAATCGCTTGTTGCGTAAGCTGTCGATAGGGGCTAATCGTAGGAAATAATCCCTCCCCTTGACGATGACATTAACGCCATGTAGTGGATACGAATTCTCATTCAGAACACTTCCAATGCCGGAGAGGCTTCTCCCGCTTGATGAGAATTGAGCCAGCCCAGCTTTCGAGTTGAAGGGAAGGACTGCTACTGCTCGTGCGCCTTCCCTGCAGCAGGTGGATTGCGTAAACGCTAGCGGAGACTTCATTCCGTCTTTGTAGTCCCTGTGTCGGCCTTGCCCATCTCCTTTGTGGTCTGCACGGGAAACGGAAGAGCCTTCCAGGACGGGAACGTCAAAGCGAGGACCGAGATGGGTATGCAAGTTCGCTATTGATAGCTTTTCCCTAGTAACTTTTTAACGAGAAAATAATGCTAAGAGAGTTTCCGACGCCATCAATTCCCACGGGGATCGTTCGGTTCTTCCAAATCCTCGAGAGTTTCAGAAATTCAGATGCGCATTCCCAGATAATCCAGCTATTCTTTTGAGAAAAAGTCTGGAAACATTTTGCGAGACGGATGCCACTCTGGAGAACTTTATGATATTGTTTCCCCCAGTACTCCGTTCGAACAGCTAGGTCTTGGTCAATCGAAACATCGATCACGCACCCATTAACAATTTATCATTCCTTCCTTGGAATCTCTCTCGCCGTTCCCGCTATCGTCATTCTGTCAAAGATGCATTACGTTGGAAGTTCACAAAGCCCACTCAGGGTATCCTTTTTCCTCAACGAAGAAGCTCCATGAGTAAAGGAGGAATGAATGATTCAGCACTGAAGCTCCCTAATCGATAAAGAGAAGGATATCGGGTGCTCGACCAAACGCATGTCATCTGCAGAGAATCGGATGGCACAACTTCGCCCATCTTTCGTGACCAGTGATGTGAGAGGAGTGCTTCGGTGTGTACCTAAGGAGCTTGCATATCCCTTCATTATTCGATTTCCTTCGTTTTCATCGCGAAGTGGCTTCTTGGGGCTCGTTGGGACGTCAAAGAACTGAAGCGGAATGAATGCAAATGGAATATACAGGGTGATTATGAAGAAAATTCCGCACTTTAGTGCTTAATATCTCAGAAACGGTATGACATAGAAAGCTGAAATTGCATAGAGGTGTTAGGGGGACCATGCGTTCCAAGATGCCATAGTTATCACTTAATGTAATTAGGGGTGCCACTGTGACTAAATGTCTTACTATTCACAGCAACTGTTCAATATGTGCTCCTTCAGTGTCCAGAATGCATATCGAATAAGTTTCTTCAGAGAGACTGCAATGTTCTAGCACCGTTCGGCTACTGTATCTGAGTCTTCTGACAGGTTCTAGTGGTTCGCAGCGCACACAAACAAAATCCATATAACTGCATTCTGAGACCAAATGCGATAATATGGACTTGCTGTGAGATTTTTCAGCTGACCCAAGGATGAAATGGGTTTCGACTCCAAGATATCATATCGGTATGCCAGATGTGTGAACCATGTGTGAATCAGCCAGACCCCACTTCGAGGGCATGATGATACACATATGAAGCAACACTCGTGTAACCATGCAGGCGATGATTTCGTACGCAGATGCATTGATCAATGAAACTAGGACCCATATCTATGCTGTCGGTGTTGGCTGTTGTTCTCAGATTGCGGTTATTTGGATTTTGTGTGCGTGCTACATACGACGTGTGGCATCTTTGAGCGCATGTTCCCCCTAACACCCCTGTGCAATTTCAGCTTCCTATGCCATAACGATTCTGAGATACTGTGACGGATAAGGATGGCATTGAGAGGCTCGACTGAATGTGCAGGGTTCGGTGGTGTAGTGGAAGCACGCCTGACCGGCAATCGGGAGGCCCGGGTTCGATTCCCGGCCGTTCCTTGGGTTCTTTCGACCTCTCATGCCGTCCGTCCGAGGAACACCCCCCGTAACAATACTATGCCCGAAAGTGCTGAAGTTCCTTTATAATCACCCTGTACTTAGGCAAGTCCTGATCCTTCAACTCTGCTATGATCCCTTTGTGTTGCCTCACGATATTCAACCAGGAACTTGTGACAGGGGGTCTGCATGTGGAAATCATCCAAATAATCTCATTTGCCCTTCGCTTCGAGCGCCAACAGATGATCCCGCCTACTCGGACAAGGGATCCTTGTTTATACTGTTAGTCTTGTTGAACCGTCCTAAAATAGGCCTTGGTCTAAGCAACTATAACAGTCCAAAACTGTTGAGCTGGGGGAGCTGCAAGTCAAGGAAAAAGTCGAAAGTCAACGGCTATTGCGGGCCATTGCTTACCGAGACACAGGATAGATTCCAGTGCACTAGACAGCCTAAATCCTTCGGTACGAAACAGAGTACAGAGTAATCGTATGGAGTTGTGCCCGCTAAAGGAAGGAACTCTTGTTTCCGGCCTAGAAAACTCTTCATCTTAGTCTCACATTGTGTGTGGCAGTATATGAGAAGAACATTTTACCGTAGCAATTGTTCTTTCACTGTACTCAGGACTCCCTTTTATTTTAGAAACGTTAGGCCCATATTAACTTCACACGATGAAGATGATGCTCTGAATCCAGGTTCCAAGGTGAACTGCATGGATGCAACGGAGACGGGTTCCATGCATCAGTCGCACGTATATTTGCATGCATATGGTTAGCAACGCATGAGGGTGCCACGAGATCTGGCTTCTCGGGGAAAGCGTGACGAAGTGTTTTCCAGTTCCTCGCGCATAGTCAGGAGTCAGGAGTCAGGAGAGTTAGTGATATCAAGAGGCGATTTCGCCCATTTCGATATCACGTGTCGAGGTCGAGCGTTCCTTAATTTTAGGGTAGGCCTAACCCTCTTAAAGCTATATATTTTTGTATTTTTTTTTATTTTTTTTATTTTTTTTTTTTTTTTTACTATCCTAGTTGCTTACTGTCTAGTACCTACGTCAACATTGCCCCCCACCTTTTTGCCTGTCCATGAAAGCATCTAGTTTCTTCTTAAAGATAGTCACAGAAGGGGCAGCCACTACTTCGTCATCTAACGCATTCCACGCGTTCACCACTCTGCAAGTAAAGAATTCCTGTCTCGACCTGAGCCGCACCTGCGGTTTGCGCAACTTAAGTCGGTTACCTCTCGTTCTCTTGCTGTCATCAAACTGGAA